AGTGAAAACTCCTATGTGGTTGAGAATTTCCATTTCACCTAAAACACCATCCTGTGTGGATTAACATGGTAAACTTTCAGTCCAACAACCTTCAGTTGCAAGCAGCTTTCCAATTTTCATTTGACTTTTATCACAGTAGCCTCACCTTATTATCATCGGCCATGCTAACTTGCCGTTTTGCTTGGTTCTTTGCTTGAGAGGAAGTATTAACGGCAGCCAACCAAAGTTTCATCTCTTCCTTTAATAAAACGCATTATCAGCGACATGTAAAAAGAATAAGACACTACGAACTGGTATGAAAGGTAGATGTACCCTGTAAGCGGTTGTTTAGTTGGCTGCAGTGCTTCAGTCTTTCATTACAATGGCGGCACTCTCTTTTTTTTCCAGCGAAGTTTTCTATTTTAGCTCGCCACCTTGGAAACATTTTAAGAAGCTACTGAACCTGGAAAAAGCTACTCTTTCTAATCTTTACAATGTTGAGTTTCCTTCAAGAAAATATTTTTATTTCATTTCACAGGGAATTTAAGACAAGAATAAATGCACTCCTTAATACTCACTTTGTTCAGTTTTCCATCACTATCTTGATCAAGCCTTTTGAAAGATTCTTCAGCGGTCCGTTGGTCCGTGCTGCCAGTATCTACCGTTTTACCTGCAGGAAAAAATAGTTAGCAATTTACGCGGGTCAGCATCATCTAAAACTTTATTAATTAAGCTTTTGAGGGCCTCTCAGGGTTTTTGGGAGCAAGGGAACTTGATCATTTATTTCAAGGGAACAAGTGATATTTTTGGGATTAATTTGAGCGAACAAGGGATATCTCTACATTTGAAGGAAACTTAGTGACAAAACATTTTAGGTAACAATAGAATTTATTATAGGGAACAAGGGAGAAAAAGTGAAATTTTAAGTGGATGAAGGAAATATGCTATCCCCCCTTGGGAGGTCCCTACTTATATCCGATGCTCACCTCCCCTAGGAAAATGGTCATTAAAATCCGCGAGATATGTTTACCTTTGTACTCATCGAATGATAGAAACCCATCTTTGTCGGTATCCACGAATTCCATGAATTCCTAAAGAGATTACATAGTGCGTCAGGAGAGGATGAAGGGTATAAGAGAGTCAATCCCCTATATAGGCTTTATTCCCAAGGAAATCCCTCTTAAGTTATTTCTAGATCTTTCTCAGTCTCGGAAATGGCCAATCCTGTGAAGCTAATTTTACTCACGTGAACAGCTAGTCCACGCGTAATTTCATCTCACACGCAACGCGCCTAGTAGAAGAAGAGGGTATTACGTCTGAAAATAACTTAAGACGGATTACCTTAGGAATAAGGCCTATATGAGGGATCAACTGTCTTAGTCTTCATTGTCTCGTGAATGATATACGTTGTAACAGAGGACAAACTCAAACTCGCATGCAGTCAACGGTTATTTCTTGACTCGTGGTCAAGGAGAGCTTAGATACGAGCGATGCAAGAAGCAGCAAAAATGCCTCAAAACAAAATGGCGATCAGCACGTGCGTTGTACATCTTTATAAATTTCAGGGTTGTACTCCGCAAAAATTAATGTGAGCTGAGAAACCGCAAAAAATACTGCTTGAAATAGCTACATTTGACCAACGTTGTATCTGCACATTGACGTGAGGAAGTCCACATCGTTTTTAAGCGCCCTGAAACATGTTAATTATGGTTAAGGGACTATACTATTATTTATCACACGACTAAGTTAGTTCAGAGGGGCAATTACTTAAATCAACGAATTAGATTGCTCCATTGCCGGTCCGATATTTCTCGAGTATTGGAACGGGAATTGTCCCGAATGATCTCGCGCGACCATTCTAAGTTCTTTAGTTTCTTGAACTAAGCTTGCCAAGGAACGTACGGCGAGAATATCAACGTTTGGTCTTTTTTGTACGGACCTCCTTTCGATATACTAAAAGTATGGCCTTCACGGTTGGTTAATAAGATACATATATCAGGGTTTACAAAGAACAAAGAACACAACAAAATCTTACTTCAACTATGATTCCAAACATGTTTGGATTTTCTTCAGGATGAAACATAGAAATCAAACCATCACGTGATAGTAAACCGTCTTCCTTCGCGTTAGCGTGATCAAATCTTCTTTTGTCGCGCTTTTTTTGTTTCTCTGTAAAACCTGCGAAATAACATCGTGAGACAATTGACCCTTCAAGCTAGAAACTTCAAAGTTCTATTATTTTTCATCCTCGCAATTTATGTATTCGTGATTTATGTTTCAAGAATGATTCCTAGCTCAGTTGAATCCGCAATAAAAAAACATTAAGCTTGTTTCTAAAAGGAGTATTTGCCATAGTACATAAAGGCCTAGAATTTTTAAAAGTTCCTAGATCACAGTACAGTCAGTCTTTACGCACCCTACCCACCCCCCGTACGCCTCCCTCCTCCTGACCCCACACAAACATAAAGGGCGCTATTACTGACCTCCTCTGTTTTCAGCGCCCTTGATATATTCTTCCCAAGAGACCTTGCCGTCTTTATTCGTGTCCAGTGTCTTTAGCCGATTCTCGGCCTCTTGTTTGTAAAAATTCTTCATACTCCTGCCTGTCCAGGCAGCAAGTTCTTCGACTGATATTTGACCATCTCCATTTTTATCAATTAATGGAATAACCAACCTATAACAAAGAAAAAATGCTTAGCTCGGGTACCCAAGGAGTAGTTTAGACAAAATCCGTGCTACAGAATATGGATAGCCTGCGAGCGGGCTCACGTTGGAGCACAAGCACGCGCGAAATAAAGCGGTAAAGCCGCGAGACAAGACTCTACACCAGACTCCCTCCCGCCGAATCGCTTTGCTCCTCGCTCGCAGGCTAGAATATGGATTGCTGAATTGTCATAAACCAACCGCCTTCGTTCTATGAAGGAAATGATAGGGCCAAACAAAAAAACGCGTATA